GCGGAAAATCTGGAAAGTGGGCTCGCAGTCTTATTATCTGGGCCAATAACCTAGCAAACACTTGGTTTCTAGTAGATAGGAGACAAACATGCGACCATCTTGTCGATGCATCAATGAAGACCATACATATATCTCCTTGTATCCTTTCCAGAAATTTTAAGGTCTCTTTATTTACCTTAGCCGGTGATGGCCTTATAATGAGTTTCCCTTGTGAACATGCTTTACACGTGAGATTCTTAGGGATAACTCTTTTCTCTTTTAGGGTGTGCCCCTTTGAATTTATCATAAGCTTACGCATCATACTATGACCCGGATGGCCAAGCCGGTCATGCCATAAAGTGAATTTCTCGATGAACTCTTTGTTCATTGCCATATTAGCTTCGATCATATCGATTTTAGCATAGTAGAGACCAGTGGATAATGCGGGTATAGTCTCTAGGACTTTCTTATGTCCTTGGGTGATCTCTTTGTTCCCTTCACCCTTTGTTTCAATATGGAAACCATTCAATCTTATATCTTTGAAACTTAATAAGCTCCTCTTCGAGCTGGATGAATATAGGGCATCGCTTAGTTCAAGATGCGTGCCATTTGGTAATAGAATATGGGCTTGGCCGTAGCCCTCAATAAGATTTGCTATACCCGCTAAGTGCTAATATTGGCATTTTTCATTTCTTATCTTTTGTGTGGCTCCACTATCCACCACAATTATGTTCTTGTCCTCGGCCATTTCTTATATGGACAAGAATCATGTTCTAAACATAAAATAATATAAAATAAATTCAAGCAAATAACAATCAATGAATACATAAAATGCAAAGAAAAACATAGAGGTTTTGATGTCGAAGTAAGATTTATCAACTTGATTCTTTTATGCAATCAGAAGTTTCATACTCTATTAGATCATCTTGATCATGTTCACCATCTTTATATACCAAATGGGCTTTAGGATTCTTCCCTTTTACACTCTCTTGATAGAGGTCACAACGATGTTTGGAAGTCCTACATATCTTAGCCCAATGGTTTCCCATTCCATATCTATGGCATACTCATTTGGTCGAGTGTTGTGGTTTGGAAATACCACATCGTCCTCGCCCTCGACCACGGCCGGAATTGGGTCTACATCCACGGTTATAGTGGTTCCCACGGCCGGATGAGTTATAGTGGCCACAACCACGTCCTTTCAATACCACATCTATGGCATACTCATTTGGTCGAGTGTTGTGGTTTGGAAATACCACATCGTCCTCGCCCTCGACCACGGCCGGAATTGGGTCTACATCCACGGTTATAGTGGTTCCCACGGCCGGATGAGTTATAGTGGCCACAACCACGTCCTTTCCATCCACCACGGTCACGGCCGTGTGGTCTATCACTTTAGACGTGGTTAGATTCTTTGGATTCTTTCTTATCCTCTGCGGCCTTATTGGCATTAGGTAATGGGGTTAATCTATGAGGTCGTAATTCACTGTTTTATCAGTAAGTCATTATTTTGCTCATCTAGCAATAGACTCATCCATGGACTTATAGTCCTGGATTATGAGACTCTCAATAAGATGGTGGCTAATATTGCCTTGTATCTATCTTTCTCTCTTGGCATTCTTGCCTTATTAGATACATTCACCAAGTCCTTTTGACTTTAGGATAATCTTAGTATCCATTGCCCATTTTAAAATAATTATCTCCTAAGAGATTTAGGGCAGTAAAGTACAAGTTGTAATTCAACATCTACAAGGAAAAGTTTTGAGTCAAAATCATGTAATCGTTAGTGTCATGCGGTATTTGAGACCGAACCATGAATCGATTTACTTAGGGATTTGACTTTCCTCTTTTGCTTAGGATTAGATTTTCTCTTTTAATTAGGATTAACTTTTCCTTTTCCTTTTAGGATTTACTTTCCTCTTTACTTTAAGATTAATTTTCCTATTTCTAAATATTTCCTAATTTGATTAGGGTTTTAAGCATGTAATCAATCAAAAGAGCAAACAATCTAACAACCTAAACAATCTCAATCAAGCCGATTTAAACTTATGGAATTTTCGGATTTGCGATTATAAGTTTAGATAATTAAAACTTCTCTAGCAACTTAGGCGAGTTTTAGCTTAAACGATAATCAACTTTTTCTAGCAACCTAAACGAGTCAAACAATCGAGCAAACAAGCAATCGGATCAAGCAAGCAATCGAATCATACAAGCAAAACAATCACTTAATCAATCATCATTCGTTTTTAGGGTTTCTCTTTGCTTAACTTTCAAGTTCAATTGTTGGTTCTTTAGCTTTAGGGTTTTGATGTTACCTTTCACCTTATGGGGTTGTATGGACTAGAACCGGGAGCTAAAGACCTCGGTAACTCACGCTGCTGCAACGAACCGCAAACAGTACCACGATGAACAGTACCGCGATGAACAGTGTCGCGATGAACAGTGTCGCGATGAACAGTGCCGCGATGAACAGTGCCGCGATAAACAGTGTCGCGATGAACAGTGCCGCGATGAACAGTGCCGCGATGAACGGTGTCGGTGATGAACAGTGTCGGCGATGAACAGTATCGGCGATGAACAGTGTCAGCGATGAACAGTGACGGCGTGAACAGTACCGCGATTTTTAGGGTTAGGGTTTTAGGGTTTTCGTTAAGAGCAAGTCGTGCTGATAACGTGTTATAAAACTTGTTGTTCTATCTATTAATGAATGAGGTTTCGATACATATATATACATGATGAGAGGAGACAAATCCCCATTGGGCTAGTAAACCCTAAAGCCCAAAAGCCCACTAAGTACAATATAGGCCGTCATAAGGAGAATCTTCAAGAACATGGACATGGGCCTTCTAGGATATGGATCAGGCCCACGGTTATGGAGTCCACCCAATATGTGATTTATAACATACTTCAGTTACTTTAATTGAATTATGCCCAAATCTATTCATCAAAGTGTTGTTGAACTGATGGACCTATTCTAGGTGGATATTACTCCCTTAGCCATAAAAGTTGTCGCTAAGGTGTTTTGTGGACATATCAAACTTACACTTAAACCTTGCTTGAATTTCTATTGCCAAAGGATAGTTTAATTGTTAGGAATATCATGTCTTAGATACGAAAGTATGATAACTTTATAGTTGTGTTTTGAGTTAAAGAACGGTTCTAAATGCTTCACATATTTAATTTATATTTGTTTCATAATCCTTTGATGAATTTCTTTCACTCAATGCTTTTTACTTTGTTTTATTTATTTAATTTTATTTATTTATTACCTTGAGTTAATTGAAAACTCTTGTTTATTCTAGCTTTATTTACAGTAATATAGTTCATTATGCTTTTTTTTTTCTTTATGAATTTGATCCAAAATCCGATTGTAATTGTATTTTGCAATTGCAATAAATAAGTTGGGTTAAAACTTGTGCTTAACAAGTTTTTGGCACCGCTGCCGGAGACCAAATAATTGTGCATTCGAAGTTTTTGTGTAGATTTCGTCTAGGAATTTTTTTTTTTAATTTGTTTTAACTATTTAGCTCTATTCTTTTTCCATGCGTGTATTTTAGGTGTAATCAAATATGAATGCTCAAGGAATTGTGGATCTTTATGCCGAAGCTCGTAATCCGCTTAACCTTCCATCACCACCTCCACTACTGATCGGTGTTCCACCTGCACCAATCGGTAACATGCCACACTTCCTTCACTGCTCGGTTTGCATCATGTACCAATCGTATGTAGACGGAGATATGGATAAGGCGGAGACATCGAGCTCACTGATTGAGACGGCAAGGATGTTAAAAGTTAATGAAGAAGAAGAAGTAAAAGAAGAAGAAAGTAAAGAAGCTCTTACGAGAAGCAGAGTAGTTGTGGTTCAGACTTATGTTTGGGGAAGAGGGACTAAGCCACAACTGCCGAGTCTTTATTTTCTTTTTTTGAATGAATATATAATTTATTCACTAAAAAACTGTGTTTACATCAAGTGCAACGTTTCTGAGAGTAGAGTAAAGAGTTTAAAGTTCATGGACTTCTAATATACACTTAAGATCGAGTTGAAAACCATGATATAAGAAGATCTTCATATCTTCGATTGCCCGAGTTTTAATTTGAAGAAGAGAGAGTCGGTTGCGGATGGTCTTATCGATGAGTCTTTAAAATTGTTGAAAATGAAAAAACATTATCTCAAATTTTTGGTCCTTTGTTTATGAAAGTTATTGGGTCATCTTGAGTTTTCCCAGTGGTGGAAATAATTTTGATTCGGTTAACTGAGTTTTTGGGTTATTGTTATTTCCAACAATATGTGAGTTTGGAACCGGGTGATGAGGCATAAAACCTTTGGCTAAAGCTCTAATCCAGGGGAATCTAGGGAATGCTCCTACAACAAGGTTATTTTTTCTTAAAATGGTGCCCTCTTGAAAAATAAGTCAACAAGAGAAGGTCTATAATTAGACTGGTGGTCAAAGAAAGAGAAATTGTTTTGAGATTTTAATCAAACATATTTATCTATTAGTAATTTAATTAAACAAGAAAAAATACGAAAGACCCTATTAGAAGAGAAAAGAAAAAGAGAATCTCAATGATCACATGAGCACAAAAGTTATTGAAAAATATTTAAAAACTTGGCTTGAAATCGAATGGATAGAAAAATCTTAAACTCATGTGAGAGAGATTCAAACCTTAAAAAAACTCTCCCTTCTCTCTTAAACAAAAGTAGCCGCCGCTTTGTTTTTCCGGTTCCGGTGGCTTCCACAGCACCGGAGCCGAATAAACTCTGTTTCTTGTTTTGTTTTATCTATTTTCTTTAGTACATCCATGTTTTCCTTCCAACGGAATCAGATCTAGTTTTCCAGATCTATGTTTTAAAACTTAATTTTTTTCATCCTTAGGTTCTTGCTTTTTGCCTCTTTTGTCTCCGCCATTCTCAGCATCCGATCTGGCCGTATCTTTCCTTGGCAGAGGCAGTCTTCAACCGGTTCTTCACTGCCTCAAATGAAGAAATTTCACAATCGTAGATCTAGATCTTCTTCCTTTCTTCAAGAGACGATCCTTGAGTCTCTAGGTTTTGGATGTGTCTCACCGCCTCCGTGGCTCCTCTCCGGAGCATTATAAAGAGGGTCGCACGGCATTTTCATTCGGTTCCAACTTGTGGTAAAGGAGATTCTTGTATTGTAACCCGTTTGTGTATTTTTCTTAATCTCATATTTGATTTAATTTTCTAAAGTTTAGGTTTTGTAAATCTTTTTTGGGTTTCTTGATTCTAATCTAGGAAGTATTGATGGTTGTAGTGTAGTTGGTTTGTTTGAGTTTTTTTCCCTTTGTTTACCTTGTTTGGTCTTTGTCTCTGGGTGTTCTTGTACTCACCAGCTTGTGTCTCTGGAAGTGTCTTGTACTTGCCGGCTCTTGTATTTCATCTTGAATTCTATCAATGAAATCCTATTGACGAAAAAAAAAAAAAAAATCTTAAACTCATTTTTATAAACATATACATGTTGAGTGCATAGCTAATTTCAAGATATATCGTCTTTGATTTCATCAAAATCTCACACAAATATTTAATTGAATATTTATAGCGATACATCCTAAATGATTTTTTTCTTTCTAATATTTAGAAAAGTGTAGAGTGTGTGTGTTTTATATATGAAACAAAGTTTAACCTAGATTAAAAAAAACATATCCGGCCCAACGAAACTAAAAGCCATAGGGCCGAAAAGTTATGGAACATCATTAAATTTCTATTAAAAATTTAATTTCAGTCTCAATTTTCCCTACATTTTAATCTTTCAGCTCTTGTTCTCGGTTTTTCAAAAATAGTTTTTCTTTGAAAATGAATACCATGAAATTCACTCATTTCTACCTAAAGGTGTTAAACATGCCAATACATGTTCATCTGGCCCGTCCTGCAATAAAAATTTTTCTCAACGAAAAGTTTCGACAAGATCGCTGTCCGTGTATGCTTCGATATATATATGTCTAGCGGGTTAATGGGCCAGCCTGTTAATTGAATTTTTAAATTTTAACATTATATATTTTTAAAAATTTAGAAGCCAACAACTTTTATATAGAAAATAACTTTTAATATACTATCTTTCCTTTGCAAAAAAAATATACTATCTTTTAAACGTATTACATTTTATACATTAAATAGTTTTTACATTATCACCTATTATATCATATCAACTATGTAGAAAAATTATTTTATATAAAATTAGGGCTTTTGCAAAAATGCCACTTTTTCAATGCCACTTTTCAAAAATACCCTTTTTTAAAAACCTTATAAAAAAATGCTCTTAAAAATATAAAATTTACCCAAATATGTATGTAATATTATTAAAGCATACACAAACTACATTTCTATGTATCTAAAATCTTATAAATACTTTAGAAATACCTTATAAATGCATTTTAAATACCTTTAAAAACCTTTAAAATATCTTGTAAAACCTTTGAAAAACCTTAAAAATCCTTTAAAATAACTTGTAAAACCTTTAAAAACACCTTATAAAACCTTATAAATACTTGGATCGAGTCTTCAAGTAGTAGTTACAATCCATAAGTACCTTATAAACTTAATAAAACTTTATAGAAATTTCAGATTTAAAAAGAGCCATTTTTGAAAATGGACATCTAAAAGGGGCATTTTTGAAAAAGGACACACCAAAAGGAGCATTTTTAACAATTTCCTTAAAATTTATTTATTTATATTAATAGCATACAACAGATCCGACAAAGTACAGATAAAACCCGTTACACCTGAAGTCTATCATGGGCTGGCGGTGAGCCATCCTTCGTAAAATATTAAAATTTTATTTCCTTACTCGCCCATAACAGACTGGGTTGGGCTTGGCCCGCAGACTTAGGCCTGTTTGACTGTTTCAATACCCACGCCTCTTAAACTTGGTACATATGTAAGGTTTAAGAACAAATAAATACAAATCAAACTTTGGTTTGTTAGAAATTATATGGATAATGATTATCCATTTCTATAGCTTTGTCCCCAAATAACTTAGTTCTAGCTTATCTTCTTTGTAGCTTATCCATATTAATTTTCTTTAGCTTAGGCACCAAGCTATTGTACTATATATATGTGTAAAGTTTAGTCGATGGAAATAACAAGAATGAGTTGAGAGAGAAAGTAAATAAAGAGTGAAGTGTGTTCTCTCGTCCACTTCCCTCTCCCTCTCTTAATTATTTCTTTACAGCCATACATATATAATACAATAATATTATATTTGTTTGCGTTATATTTTATAACACGTTATCAGCACGATGTCTTTACCGCTAGAGCGTTTACGAGGTAAGTTACAATTTCTGTTATTCAAATTTATTTATGTTTATAGAACATAATTATTTTAGACATCGTGAGACTATGCCTTTTTCTGGTTTGATCGTTATAAATGGTAGGCTTTGCCTTCTTTACGATCAAATAAAAAGCTATGGCTTTTCCGAACAGATCGTTATATATGGTAGGCTATGCCTCATTTACGATCAAATAAATGGCTATGTTTTTTCCAGATCGATCGTCATATGGTAGGTTTTACCTTCCTAACGATCAAATAGAAATTTATATTTTTCCGGATTGATCGATATATATGGTAGGCTTTGTCTCCTTCTCTACGATCAAACAAAAGCTATGCCTATTGAATTCTTAATGGAAGGCGATGCCTCCTAAATTCTTATATGAAAAGGCTATAGCTCCATAAATTATTATTTTTGTTCATTTATGTGTTTAATTATTTTTATTTATTTTATTCGTAAAGAATAAATATATGTGTTATATGAGATTTAAAGACTTTGAAATTGTCTTTAAAATCAAAAATATATTTCTCTTATGAGAATATATGAAGCACGGGTCAATATATTTTTAGACAGTGCAAATTAATTGGAAGGTCTAGGTGAGCTAGTCTCTCTACTTCCAAATGCATCGGATTCATAATAATCGATGCACCGTGTTCTCCAAAGTCTCAAAATAACTCGTGTAGTTTCAAAGACATTTTTTTTTATAATTATTATATTGAGACTATAAATAAATGTGGTATTGAATATCCGACCACAATGGAGACACGCAAATGTATGATTATATCATGCAAAAAATAATAAAGATGGCAAAAATTATTTAATAGTAAACATGAAGTTTACTAATGCTTTAAGCATAGCATAACCGGTCAAGCTATCCCGGTAGAAAAATGCATTTGATAATAATGATCCAGATCCATGATCCATATCAGTGCTAACAAGGGCCTGATTAAAAAAAAAAAAAAGTGCAATATATTGAATTGCTCTTCCTTAATAAAAGAGATGTCTTTGGACCTCTTGTCACTACATCTAAAGATTAAAACTTGTTGCGTGCAAGTGGGTCTTCGTGTAAAAAGTATACAATCACACGATATAAAGCCCAACTTATTGTACAAGGTTTTTCTCAAAGACCAGGAGTTGATTAAAAAAAAAAAACAAATAAATCTCTTGTCATGAATGTAATTACATTCAGGTACTTAATGAGCCTAACGGTCTCTAATAATTTAGAAATGTACCTTATGGATGTAGTGATAACATATGGATCATTGGATAATGATATATACATAAAAATCCTAAAAGGATTTAAAGTTCCAGCGGTATTAGACTTAAAGTCTAATGAAATATATACGGTCAAATTACAGCGATCACTTTACGGATTAAAATAATCCAGACGCATGTGGTGTAATCGTTTGAGTGATTATTTATTAAACAAAGGGTATATTAAATAAAATATGCCCTTGCGTCTTTATTAAGAAATCTCTTTTGAGATTTGTGATCATTGTTGTATATATTGATGACCTAAATATTTGGAACTTAAAAAGAGTGATTAAATATCACTTCAATTTTATGTAAAGAAAGAGAAGCCTATTCAAGTACTGCATGCTTCCATCCATATTTCTGAGGTAACATTTAATTTATTTAAATTCATTTAAATTTATTTAAATTTTATATTATATAAGGAGTTGAAGGTTATATACCTTCTCCTTAACTTTGTAGTAGGCTAAGCCTCCAGAATTATATGGTATTTGGCCAAATCACCATTTTTCTTTGATAAGCTCATTAATGGTCGATTTCCGTAATATTTCTCCCAATTAACCCCCGTGTATAACCGGTCTAAAAAAAGGATTCGGTCCAAGATGAATAGGATTGAAAAGCCATCATCTTGAGAAGAGTTATTACAAGTTCCACATTTTTATAAGGAACTAAGAATAAATACATGATCCGTATCGGATATGTTATTGATCCTAAAGTTGGATTCAGTTCGAGATGAATGAACTCGAAGAGTTATCATCTCGAGGGGGAGAATTAAAGGAATCCCACATCGACAATAAGTCGATAAATTTTGGTGAGTTTGACACCCAGAGCGAAATAACTCTGGTGAAGTCATATCCTAAAATTTATCGCTTTTTGATAAAGTGGAACATCTAAAAATGATATTCACTCTCAAAAAGAGCTTTAAGTGAATCGTCCATAGTGCAAATCCAAGAGATTGCAAAACGATTCATGGTGATTTAATCTTCATGTTTTTACATGCAACATGCACTTTTGCATATAGTAATGATTATATATAAGGCCAACGATTTATAAGAAATATTTCTCCAATGTTATATATACATGATTGGAGATCAAATGTTTTTAATTTTGGATTTTATGGGTGTGAGGTATATGTTATAAATGCTCCTCTGCATCGCATAAAAATATCATCGAAAAAAGGATGAAATATATAGATGCAGGAGATGAGTCTCTGCTCTACAAATATTGAGCCATCTTATGAGAGATGTGCCTATTGCAAGATTTGCAAATCATCATGTTGATGATAAAAAAAATTTCCCATCATTATGGGAGAATCATTGAATAGTTTAGATCTTTGAACAAATAAATATAATAAATATGAACTTTAGAGTTCAAAAGTTCAAAAGGATCACTATTCAGAATATATTGCAAATCAAATGCAAAAAGCTGATGGATGAGATTTCATAAATTATTGATCCTCGTATAAATACATATGAACTTAAAGTTCATAGGAAATCTCTTGTCCCAGCTAAAAATGCTCTACAAAAATTATGTCTCTGGCGGATGACATATTATTGTCTATAACACGATAAAAACGTGATAGACAACTTTGGTTCCAAATATAAAGAAAATCCTCGAAAATAAAAAAGAGTATTATTACTAAAAAGAGGATTAAACTCTTAAAAAGAGGAGCATATAGACTTCTAAAGAGGAGCAAAGAAACTTCTCAAGAGGAGCAAAGAGACTCCTAAAGAAGAGTAAAAAAAGACCGATTGGCATGGCTAAAGACAAAATCAGGTACCTGAATAAAGTCATTTATAATGATTAAGAGATCTCGATTAACCATGTCATTACGGCAAATATGGAACCAAAGACAACACAATGTCGACAAGAAAAATGATCTAGTGCACAAATGTGATTAATGAG